ACAGCACGTACATGCTCTCCCATGCCAGACAGCACGTACATGCTCTCCCATGCCAGACAGCACGTACATGCTCTCCCATGCCAGACAGCACGTACATGCTCTCCCATGCCAGACAGCACGTACATGCTCTCCCATGCCAGACAGCACGTACATGCTCTCCCATGCCAGACAGCACGTACATGCTCTCCCATGCCAGACAGCACGTACATGCTCTCCCATGCCAGACAGCACGTACATGCTCTCCCATGCCAGACAGCACGTACATGCTCTCCCATGCCAGACAGCACGTACATGCTCTCCCATGCCAGACAGCACGTACATGCTCTCCCATGCCAGACAGCACGTACATGCTCTCCCATGCCAGACAGCACGTACATGCTCTCCCATGCCAGACAGCACGTACATGCTCTCCCATGCCAGACAGCACGTACATGCTCTCCCATGCCAGACAGCACGTACATGCTCTCCCATGCCAGACAGCACGTACATGCTCTCCCATGCCAGACAGCACGTACATGCTCTCCATGCCAGACAGCACGTACATGCTCTCCCATGCCAGACAGCACGTACATGCTCTCCCATGCCAGACAGCACGTACATGCTCTCCCATGCCAGACAGCACGTACATGCCTCTCCCATGCCAGACAGCACGTACATGCTCTCCCATGCCAGACAGCACGTACATGCTCTCCCATGCCAGACAGCACGTACATGCTCTCCCATGCCAGACAGCACGTACATGCTCTCCCATGCCAGACAGCACGTACATGCTCTCCCATGCCAGACAGCACGTACATGCTCTCCCATGCCAGACAGCACGTACATGCTCTCCCATGCCAGACAGCACGTACATGCTCTCCCATGCCAGACAGCACGTACATGCTCTCCCATGCCAGACAGCACGTACATGCTCTCCCATGCCAGACAGCACGTACATGCTCTCCCATGCCAGACAGCACGTACATGCTCTCCCATGCCAGACAGCACGTACATGCTCTCCCATGCCAGACAGCACGTACATGCTCTCCCATGCCAGACAGCACGTACATGCTCTCCCATGCCAGACAGCACGTACATGCTCTCCCATGCCAGACAGCACGTACATGCTCTCCCATGCCAGACAGCACGTACATGCTCTCCCATGCCAGACAGCACGTACATGCTCTCCCATGCCAGACAGCACGTACATGCTCTCCATGCCAGACAGCACGTACATGCTCTCCCATGCCAGACAGCACGTACATGCTCTCCCATGCCAGACAGCACGTACATGCTCTCCCATGCCAGACAGCACGTACATGCTCTCCCATGCCAGACAGCACCGTACATGCTCTCCCATGCCAGACAGCACGTAACATGCTCTCCATGCCAGACAGCACGTACATGCTCTCCCATGCCAGACAGCACGTACATGCTCTCCCATGCCAGACAGCACGTACATTGCTCTCCCATGGCCAGACAGCACGTACATGCTCTCCCATGCCAGACAGCACGTACATGCTCTCCCATGCCAGACAGGCACGTTACATGCTCTCCCATGCCAGACAGCACGTACATGCTCTCCCATGCCAGACAGCACGTACATGCTCTCCCATGCCCAGACAGCACGTACATGCTCTCCCATGCCAGACAGCACGTACATGCTCTCCCATGCCAGACAGCACGTACATGCTCTCCCATGCCAGACAGCACGTACATGCTCTCCCATGCCGACAGCACGTACATGCTCTCCCATGCCAGACAGACGTACATGCTCTCCCATGCCAGACAGCACGTACATGCTCTCCCATGCCAGACAGCACGTACATGCTCTTCCCATGCCAGAACAGCACGTACATGCTCTCCCATGCCAGACAGCACGTACATGCTCTCCCATGCCAGACGCACGTAAAATGCTCTCCCATGCCAGACAGCACGTACATGCTCTCCCATGCCGACACCACGTCATGCTCCCCATGCCAGACAGCACGTACATGCTCTCCCATCCAGACAGCACGTACATGCTCTCCCATGCCAGACAGCACGTACATTGCTCTCACCATGCCAGGACAGCACGTAAATGCTCTCCCATGCCAGACAGCACGTACATGCTCTCCCATGCCAGACAGCACGTACATGCTCTCCCATGCCAGACAGCACGTACATGCTCTCCCATGCCAGACAGCACGTACATGCTCTCCCATGCCAGACAGCACGTACATGCTCTCCCATGCCAGACAGCACGTACATGCTCTCCCATGCCAGACAGCACGTACATGCTCTCCCCATGCCAGACAGCACGTACATGCTCTCCCATGCCAGACAGCACGTTACATGCTCTCCCATGCCAGACAGCACGTACATGCTCTCCCAGCCAGACAGCACGTACATGGCTCTCCCATGCCAGCACAGCCACGTACATGCTCTCCCATGCCAGACAGCACGTACATGCTCTCCCCATGCCAGACAGCACGTACATGCTCTCCATGCCAGACAGCACGTACATGCTCTCCCATGCCAG